CTTTTCTTCTTCCTCCCGTTCTTCTCTTCTTCTCTTCTTCTTTGCTTCTCTGCTTCTTTGCTCTTTTTTGGTCAAGATTCTCTCATGCTCTTCTTCTCTCCACTCAATAGACTCCGGCAGCCCATCCATCACGGATCAAGAAGGAGGTTGTTGGTTTTGGTTCTCTCAGTCAATTTTGAATTTTCTTTCTTCCTCAGTTTATGTAGTTGTTGAGTTTTTAATATATATGTGTGAGAGAGATATACTATTTTGGGGTGAGAAGACTGAAATAAAGAGAGAAAGAGGGCCGTTAACTTACCGGGTCGTGTCGTGTTACCCCGTTAACTTAATGGGTTGACACGAACACGACCCGAAACCCGTTAATACGACCCGTTTGCCAGGTCTAATGGCAACGTAGTTTATGTGGTATAATTCATCTATATGTTACAATACAAGTGGTGGTCAAATATTTCTTATGTTATAATATGAATGGACAACGCAATTAATATTTCCTATTTTTAAGGTATAATGTTATAAAAATTCATTTATATTATAACACGTATATAAATTATACCACATGACTGTGTAACCAACCAAACTATAAGAGCATCCATAGTGGGAGGGTATATAATGAGGTGTATGTTAAATATACACCATTTGTAATCAGAATCACCTGCAATGAAGATGTGTAAATTTGCATCACCACTATGATATGCAAATTTAGATGCACATATACATCTTCTTCTTTTTATATCTCTTGCAGGTGGGACTTACATGAGAAAATGTGAGAAAAAGTGGACAAAAGTGAGATCTACAGCAGAAAAGGTGAAAGAAATCAATTATACATCTTCCCCCACTTGAGCAAAAATCACATTTACAACTCCTGAATGTAAAAGTGACTTTACACTCTCGAAAATATACAATCCCAATGTAAATGCTCTAACTAATCCAGCTGAAGACTAGAAAAATACAAAATTCTAATAAAGTCTTGTCGCGTGTGAAGATCCCAATGGTGGAACCGTCAATTCTCTGACCACCACAAATTTTGAACCGGGACTGAAAGTAAAATAATGGATCACATTGTCCTGGGGCTCGCCTGCACCAGTGAGTCAGCCATTTCAATTCCAATCTTATTTGAAACCTTATGTTTAAACTTCCCACGAGGTCCGGCTGCGCTTTTCTGACGTGGAGAGAATATCGCTGCTGCTATACAGACCCAGTCGTTATCTTCACATCAGTCTTCGCAACTAAACCCCTTTTTCTATAATTTCTAGCATATTCCCCACTTGTATTATCTTTTCCTGCACTTTGCCTTTATAAAAACCCAACTCTCTCTCTCTCTCTCTCTCTCTCTCTCTCTCTCATGGAAATTCCAGTAGTGAACAGAATAAGTGATTTTCAGTCCCGCATAACCTCGCTGCCGGACCCATCTTTTTTCTCACAAGCCTTTTCGATTTCCGGCATCGAAAGGGTCTCTCAAGCTTGCAGCTTTTGGAAATGGGGAGCTCTCATCATCGCAATTCTAGCTTCCTTCGGCACCATACTCACTAAAATAAACATTTTTATTACCAGACTCCGACGCCTAGGAGTTTTAAGCTCCCAGGCTGTTTCCCAGAAGCTCCAAGACGACGATTTCTCCGACATCGACGATGATGATGACGATACCTGTTCCATTTCGTCGTCCTCCTCCTTATCCGATGATGAATTAGAATCCGATTCTGAGATATCGTACGATAACGCCGGTACTCCCGCTGCCAGGGATGAACATTTCCTAGTCAGGGGCTCTGGTTATTACGGAGACGACCGAGAGCAGAATCTTAATTCGACGCTCCGCCGGCGCCGAAGCTTCGGAGGACACCACCGGTTCTCTTGGTCCGACTTCACCTCCGGCAAGAGTGTCGTCAAGCTCTGGGACACGTCATCGCCGGCCACGTTTCTATCTGCGGACACAAGTGTCTCGGGGCGTGCGTCAATCGGTGTATGGGACACGCGCGTCGGATGCCGGTTTCCGGCAATACTCGCCGATTGGGGCCCGCAGCTCGGGAGAATAGTTGGAGTCGCGTCGGGCGGCGTCGAGAAGCTTTACGTCAAGGATGGCGTCACGGGGGCCTTGACAGTTGGTGACGTGAGGAAGGCGGAGTCGCCGTTACGGAACGTAACGGACGCTGACGTGGATGACACATGGTGGGACGCTGACGCCGTTATTGTGACGGACGAGCGTTTTGACGAGTCAGCCGTGAGTGGATGTGACTGGGCCGTCACGCGGTGTTGTAGCGCGGTTAGGTCTTATCTGCTGTAATTTTGTAATTGTAAAAGTGGGAAATAACAGATGTCAAATAATGCAAGGTCATTATTTTTGTAAATATATTATTGTTTCCCTATTATTTATTTTTAATAAATATTGTTTCCCTATATTTAAGATTTATTTTATTTTTGATTTGTTATCTTAGCTTGTAATTAACAGATAAAATGGGATATTGCAAGCTTCTTTGTGGCTTCCTGGTGATGAGCGGAGTCATTGTTTGCCTTGCCACGTGTTTTCGCTGTTTTAAGTAAATTGTTAAATTATAAAAATAGACAAGTCGTTATTGCTTTTACATCAATTGCCAGCGAGCACCGTCTAAATAAAAAACTAGAAATTAAAACATGCATCACGTGCAAAAAAAATAAATAATAATTGACTGTTTGTTTGCGTGAAGTGGTTCCAATACATTTGTCATTTCCGTTGTTTGAATTTAGGATTTTTCTAAGAAATTCAAATTCTAAGGCAAACTAGTACAGTCAGGGAGGAGGAGAGGATTATATTATGATTTTAACTCAAATGATGTTATTATTGAATGAGAAAATGACAGGTTATATGTACACACACATACAACAAAATATAAATTCACCTTATTTTTACTTGATTGAACATAAATGATATTTTAGAATAGAGAGGTTCGATGTGCAAACAATACAGAGTGCTTAAAAAAACATTGATTTTGCATAAGTGGATTAGGTCATTGGTAGGACTGTATGCACATTCAAGTTCGAGTCCATATTCCCGTGAATTATATTCATTTATAATAATTTAATTATCACTCGTATCAAAATGTAAATAAATAAAAAAAGACATTGATTTTCTCATTTTCCCTTCATTACCTTTTTTGCGCGGTATAGGCAAGCTATCGAAAAGAGGAGAGAGGGGGGCGAGAGAATCTCACCAATCAAATGAATAGGTGTATTTTTGTAAATAATTGATGCATGTATTTGGATAGGGACGCATTGTTGGAAAGTTAAGTTTTCCCTTATAAAATTAGGTAGCAATAATGCCATGGTTTCTTGGACAAGTGAATTAATTTTGTTGTTAGGAATACAATTATCATAATGTCGTGCTCTACGTTTAATAAATATTAGGGGATGGGTAAAAGAGAATTGAAGTAATTAAATTAGAAAGAACACAGCTTGAACAAAATATTTGCTCTATCTTTCTTTCCACACAGCTTCCTTTTGTCGATGTTATGGTTGGTTGAGAAATAGATAACCCATTTGATTCTCAAGGAAGAAACATCAGAACTCAAAGACACATACATACATATATTATATATAACTTGGAAGTTTAATAAGAATATTTTGTTACGCAACGATGAGCATACTTTATCCTAAAACAAAGACAACTACACTTTGTCTTCTACTTACTTTGGCCATAAATCAAATGAAACTTGTATACCATAAGTTACCCAGTTACGTGACCATTTTCAATTTTTCTCACCAAAACGAAAACGCAACGTTATTGAATTTCTACTTTCTTCAAGCACCATGCGCCACTGAATGTGTAGCTTTGGACAAAATCCACGGACCAATAAAAAAAAAGAAGGTATTTGGGTTTCTTTGTCGATAGTATCTTTTTCGGGCTGAAGTTATGTTTTCGGGCCCAAACTGGGAGACTGGTGGGCCTTTCCTGTTATCAACTCAAACTATTTCCATTGTAGACATCTCCATGCAGTGAAATAAAAGTTTCGTGGATCCTTCTATTATTATTTTATTTCTATTATCAAAATAAGGTTGGATTACGATTAAGGATTACTCACGTGGAGATATTTTATAGTGAGGGTCTTATATATGGCCCTTTGGTGAGGTCCTATCTCTTAACCGTTTGATTATGCTAACTAATTTAATCTAACGGTTAAGATATAAGGCATCACCTAAGGACCATATATAAGGCCTTAACTATAGAATTCTTTTACTCATGTGTTTACTTCACACAAATGAATGAAAATGAAAGTGGTATTAACACAAAATTAGGAATTCAACTCCTAATTTTGAGGAATTTGACCCTTGGGTGGGAGATAGTATTCTAATTCTTGGACAACTAACCCATCAATAATCCATATTTTTTACTCATTAAATCCTCATACAATTTTTCATGTACTTTAATCCAACAACATCCACATACTGTTCTTATCCCGATTCTAAATAATTTAATACAAATTTTCAATGAGAATATGAATTCCAACTCTTCCTCATCCGATTGCGCATTAGTAAACATGCAAGAAATGTAATATTAAGTTTCAATTTTATTTCATCTGGTCTGGTCGAGATTAATAGTGTATTAATATTGAATCAATCTATCGGTCCCGAATTTCATCGTAAACCATGTGGACGTTAACCTAGAACATTGATGAATTGGCTACTGTCTAGTCGTGGCATCTTTAAGCCAAAATACTTTTGAAGAATGCTCATGATATGTTTGTTTATTGGTCAAGTCAAGAGTTGAGGCTGTATATAAAAATTGTGTGGGTGGGGAGAGGGTAGTTGCACAGGAGTTTCCTTCTCTCCTTGTGCAGAGCAGTTTGTGCTGAAGAAATATACATGTATATAATATATATATATATATATATATGTATATGTATGTACCCAGAATCTTATAAAACTTGAGAAGGGCTATTAATAAATGAAACAGGCGGCAAGTAGGAAGAAACTAATTAAGCCAATAATAAGCATAGCTAGTGAACGCATCTAAGTTAAGAAACACAAATGAAGAAAACAAGAACCAATGAATCAATTATTATTTCAGCTATGGACAATGGACATAAAATCCAAAAAATAAACAGATAATTAACGGATCAATTAAACAATAAATCAAAGTTTGTTGCTGCTGCTGCTGCTGCTGCTGCTGCTTATGAATGAATGAATGATGTCAATACTCTGTGAGTCCCTTGATGAACTTGAACATGGAAGGAGAAATGGAACCACCCACGTTAACATTGGGAGACGCATGCGACGACGAATCTGAGAATCTGTAAAGAGGCCGAGGGGAGCAGAAGAAATCAGTCGAAGAAGTAGAAGTTGGCGTGAACAGAGGGATGTCTGCAAAATAGGGCTGGCTTGGGTGGCTGAACATGGCATTGGGAGGATAATATCCACAAGACGACGATGAGCTGCCTCTGTTTCCTTGATGATGAACAACATCAACATTCTTGTTATTATTATTATCACAATTCTCATCCGTGAGACCCGAGGACGACTGATCATTGTCATCATGGCTGCAGCTGCTAATTATAGACTTACTTGCAGTACTATTCATGTTGTTAATGTCGATGATCTGGTCATCTTGATTTCTTCGCCCCTGCGACAATGACGAAGCGTCCACCTTTACATGAACATGATCATCAGTAGTAGTAGTAGATTCAGGTTGTTGGGTTTGGTCGAGGCCGGTGAGCTTTTGGACCAAAGCCATGAAATCACGTGCCTGGGTGTGGATGATCTTGGGAGATTGGGTGTAAATGATCACCGGCTGCCGCTGTTGCTGGTGGTGTTGTTGGTGTTCATGGGGATGTTGTTGATTGGCCATGCGGGAAGAGGAATTATTATTGTTGGGAGGTTTTTGAATGAGATAGGAAGCCTTGTTGATCTTCAATGGTGAGGGGCGGTTGCCATTCATCATCATCATCTGATCTTTTCTAACTGAATGTTGACGATCCTCATCCAGATGGAGCTTTGCAGGGTTCATTGTGAATCAGTTGCCTCAGCTAACTAGTCTTAATAATTACCTAAAAAAGGAAATCAATCAGTTAATTAAGAACTAATTACGATGTCGAAGGGGTCACTGTATATATCAGAACCTATTGCTTATCAAAGAGAGAGAGAAAGAGAGAAATTGGATATAACATTTACTTAGAGGGAGGTAGAGATGAGATATATAGAAGGCAAATGGAGAGAGATGAGATTAAGGCAAGCCAACTATTCTGACCGTTGACTTGACAATATTGACATAGATATCATCAGCGGGGAATATAATTGGGATAAAAAGATGGATGGGATGTTGAATTGCAAAGTGGTTGTTACTTGCTATGGTTTAGAGAGAGAGAGAGAGAGAGAGAGAGAGAGAAGAGTCGTTAGATGTTTGTAGGCTTTTCCAAGTTTTGAGTTTTTGGTTGTCCTCTCGGGCGCATTTGTCGGCTGCCCCACGCAACGCCGGCGCAGTTGGCGCTTGGTCAAGCAAGACTCTTTTTTTTTTGTCATTATTTATTCTTTCACTTTGGCTTTTTTGCATGCCTGGTTGAGGTTTCACATTATATATGGGAGATGGGTGGCTCTCTTCTCTATATCAAAAGATAAGAATATTACAATTTACAAATAAATTTATATATAAATGTTATTGCTTGCTGGGCTGGGAGGCTGGGAGGCTGGGAGGCTGGGAGGCTGGGAGGCTGGGAGGGAGATCCTTTTAGCAATTAGTTTAATTAGCTGAGTTATAGAGAGCTTGCGCCACTTGTCCTGAGCTTCCACCTTATTTTCTCAAAATAATTGGGCGTCAATTTTGGGAAGTTCCGTTTATTTAGTTTAGTGAATGGAAGGCAAGTAAGACTTGGGGTTTGCATTTGCCTCCACAAGCTACAACTTACCAGCGCCCATCATCAGTATACTGTATATACAGTATGTATACGGATACTGCTTCGACTTTATATACGCACGTGTTGTGACTTTAAATATGACAATTTTTGATCTAATAACTTGATACATTATACATAGCCAGCCCTATCCAGTACAAACAAACAAACAAACAAGCTCATTCAATTCCAGGCAAATCTCCTTTCTTTCCTGTTCAACTTTTGGGGATGACGAGTCACCTCTGTCAGCCTCAACTAGTCAACTTCTGGCTCATAAAAACTTGGAGCCTTTTTAAAATTTTGCCACTACTTTACATCTTGAGCTTTGACTAATTGGGATATCATGATTTCTCCTCTACAATTCAATGTTATCATCATACTCTTGAGTCTTGACCTCAATATAAAGTCAAACTCTTCCAGTTTTTTTTATGCTTTGCTTGTGTTGTTTATTTTTATACTTTGGCCAAAACCAAAACATTTGAAAAGTATAATTCTACTCAAATTAATATCTTATTCTCATTTACCCCTCTGCTTCACATTTCATCAGGAAGAGAATTAAGTACAATCCCAAATCAACCTAATAACACTCCAAATTCATATAATTAAGGGAGACTTTGAAAAAACACAAACCGAGGCTTTCGGTTGGATCGATACGGTATTAAAAAATTAAATAAATAATTGTCAAACCAAAACAAACCGTGGATTTAGTATGCTAAGTATTCGGATTGATGGGCATAAATGTCCAACTCTACTCTAAGATCCGTTCTAAATATGACAACTTGTAAACCTGGTGATAAGTAATATAATGTTAAAAGGTTGCAGATATTGACATATAGAAGTTGTGTTCATAATCCATGCATGCCTATCCATTATAAATATTAATACAAACAAACATTTTCCTAGTGTATGATGTGGTTTTCTTGCAAGAAAAGTAATGGGTCCGATAGCTATGTTCATAATCCATGCATTTATAAATTTTGGTTTGGAGCTAAGAGATGACACAGTCTTTGCACGCAGGTGGGCTTAGTGCATAACTCTATTTTTTATACTATTAAACAGTCAAAGTCTGATCCAAGAAAAAGAAAACTCTTGTAATTCAGCCCATTATATTTTAACTGGACCAGGTTTATAATGTTGAACAGTAGCACAGCGGGTAGCAAACATGTATTTCAAAACTGCTACTTGTCGTCTCCTTTGTTTGCCGTTTAGAATGTTAACCCGCATGAGTTTAGCATTCGCATCAAGCAACTAATGAAACACGTTTTCTTGACCACGAAAAGAGACTAATATAATGATTTGCATAATTTGAATATGATTTCGTGTGTTTGTTTAAAATCCAACTGCCGCATTACATACTTCTCTACCTTCAATTTTACTTCCAAGTTTGTCAAAGGTCAAGTTCTGCTGCGTTCCTACCTTAAACCAACTTTCATTTTTTTCTAAGTAATTATACCTTACCAAGAGATGAAAAAAGGGGCAAACAAAGGAAAAGTATAGCAAGCGTTCCCAAGTTTCAATTACCCACCTAATTAAATACGAAAAAATTTGCCACATGCATAAATCTCATGCGTACCATTTTTCCAAGAACAGACCACACAACAACTATGTCAATTACGTCGCGGAAGCCCATTGGCCGGGCCTCTCGTATCTGAGTAGCCCATTGGCCCAGTAACCTGTCCAACTTGGTTGTGGTGGCATTGGCAATTTGCAAACCTCCACATGGTTCTCATTGTGTCGTGCTTGTAAAAAAGTCAGGGAGGCAACAGAAGCAGCAGCCTGTAAGTTTTACTCTTCCACAAATTGAAAACTGGAATGGAAAACATGGAGTGGTGTTCAAACAGACTCACCGCAAATCAAGAATGTAGTAAATAAAATACACTTTTTTGTTCATTGGTATGTTTAAAATAAACAATTTGAGTTATAGGATCATGCGCAAACCAAACCAAACCGCACGCGCACTCTCTCTCTCTCTTCCATTCTTCTTCTCTGTGTCCATAAGAGTATGATCATTGATCAGAGGAGCAGAGGAGCAGAAGGCCCTTTCTCTCTTTTTTGTTTTGCCTACAAACACAAAGCCATCATGCGCTCCGAGTCTAGGCATATTCATTTACCCATAGTACAATAAGTGGCTCACTCACAACACAAACATATTCATTTTATTCTTAAAATATGAATAAACACTTGTCGATGCTTTTGTCTTTCACTCTTTCGATCACTCCTCTCCTTGGATCTCCCGATCCCTTTTAAGCATTGCCCTTTCTGCCATTGATTTATTGTTTCTATGTTCTGTGTTCCATTATGACCAAAACCCACCTCCCACTTTTGTTTTTCTTCTAAAGAATAATTAGTTCCCGGCTTAATTACCCCAAATTTAATTAATTAAATCCCCCATAGCTGTCTAGCTAGTTACTAGTTTGGTGAAGAAGGCTTGGTTGTCCGACTGGTACATACACTAAAGCTAATGCGAGACCCATGATTTTGACTATTCATCCATTTCCCTCCTCCTCCTCCACAGTAGCTTGGTGGACCAACCTACATATCATCAATATATAGTATACACAAATATTACGGTGGTTCTCAGTGGTTGTTGTTTTGTGATTTGTGTATGAATGATGCTTCTGACTCGAGCACAAACATACAGACATACTCAGAAAGTGTAATAATATTAATAATTCTACACGCATGTTTTGTGTTAGTTACGAGATGATCATCAGCAGCAGCAGCACTCATTCATGGTCCCCCAAGAAGAGTTTCAATTAATTAATTAAAACTACTTTTCTTAATTAATCTCTCATTTTGTACATGCGCATTGCACATGCTTGCTAGCTGCTGCATCTTCCTCCAAATTTTCCAGTTCAGAGAACTTAACCTGTTTGATTGTCCCCAAAGCTTTCAACTAATAATTGGTCGCCAAGAATATGAAGCTTGTCTAGTAATAATTCATTCTTCTCAAATATATAATACGCTGTCATTCACGCATTCTGGCCTCAGACTCAGTTGTTGATTATACAAATAATTTTGAATTTTATGTCCACTAGAAATTGTCCCCCCTTCTCTTGTCACTGTCAGCCAATTTGCATCCGTCTTTCAATAAACAACACAAATCTTCCTTCTCTATGCGCATATTCTTGAACGAAAATCCTTCTCATTAGTCATTGTAATTAGCACTAAACACATAGCTTTTCCTTAAAATCTAGTGATTTGAGTGGCAGAGACACAAGAAACAGTTGCTCTAGCAGAAATTTGATGGGTTCCTTCCTTTCCTATGCACCCAATTTCATACTAAATAAATTGGTTTTAATAAGAAGACCATGTAATTTGAATTTGCTCCCCACACAGATATGTCATACGAGTACCAACCCAATTACACGTATCTGGGGTTTTCCCAGAGAAGAAAAACGACATTTTGAGGGGTTTGGATAACGACCTTAAAAGGATCATTCATCTCATCCTTAAACCTCACATCATCACATCACATCACATGATCACGTGATCACACACATGATCACATCACAAGAAGCTTCTATGACTAATTGTTTCAGAAGATTCAGAACCTTGAACGCAAAAGAATGGCCTTGTTATCTGTAACTGGTACAGTGCCCAAAAACTCACTTGCTTCAAAACTGAGTGTTAAGCTTAAAGTTCCAAGCTTTTAGGGAAAACTCTTGCATATAATCTGAATTTGCAATTACAACGTGCTAAGTTTCATCAATAAAACAACTGGGTTATTTTAAAACCTTTCCACTTGAAATGTATCAACTTAATTGATGTTCTGATGCTCAGAAACTCTGAGATTTCATCACTCTGCTGCTGGTGCTGGCAACAAATTGACAAGTCATGACTTCCCATTCTGGGTAGACAATTCCAATTACATATGTTGATGCAGCAGAGCAGAGCAGAGTAAATGTTGAGAAATGGAAAGAAAGCATCATCCTAGCCTTCACTTCATAGTTCATATCCCTGTCCTAGTTATAGATTAGCAACTCTGCCATTAATATTTGTCAAAGACTCGGGACTTGGGATATCACACACTTTCCAAAATTCTGTCACCCAATTCACAAGGCACAGAACCAACCCTGTCCTCCATCAGTCAATTGTTCTTTGAATTGGGTTTTAAAAACTGATCATTAGCATAATGAGAATCTCAAAAGAATAAACAGAAACTTGCCGGAGGAGGAGACTAGGAACGTGCGTGTGTTTGGTATCATCGACGGACGGTGACGGACAAATTATATGTATCTAATAAGATGTTTCTTTTTTATGTTTTATTTTATCAGATCATTCTGGCATTCTACAAGATCTAGAGAAGAATCTAGTAACTTACAAAATCTCCAACTCGTTTGCCACCCCCTTCAGTCTTCAGAGAATCAGACCCCTCACCTCTCACCTCACTGGCATAATGGCATAATGGCATAATGGCATTTGACATACAGGAAGAAGACAGACTACTTATTCCCTCATTTAAAATCCAGGCTATTTCTAATTTTCTATGCACATACTTTGAGTAGTATTCTATGTCATCGTCACCAAAAATATAAAACGAAAAACACAACAAAAATTTATATGACTCTAGGAACTGGGAAGAGTTGAGTGTGTGATTTGCTCGTTACTAACACACTAAATATGTGATTAAGAGACTTCCTAAACAAATTGATACAAACACAATTCACAGAATTTTCCTAATTAAGGTTGCGGAATTCAGAAAAACTCTTTTGCTTCCCAAAATTTTTGTTTCTCTCTTTTCTTTTTTTTCGTCTCCCGGTTTCTTGTATTTTGTGTTTTTTCCTCTTTTTCCACTCCCCTCCCAAAACCCACTCCACTCTTCATGTTCTATTCTACTGCACTGTCGCATTGTCCCGAGCTCGCTCCTCAAGTCCCCAAGTCCATTCTCACCTTTGTTTTTTGTTGGTGCGTATGGGAATTGGGAAGTAGGGGTGCAGAGGAATCTTTCCCCAAAATTGTTAACAAACGAAAAACTCGGAGGAAATGTTTTTAAAAAAAATAGGTGTATAGCTGGAAAAAGCTGGAAGACCTACTCCTCCAAGAATTGCTTCACAACCTTCACGCTTGGTTTGACAACCTGCCTCTCCCATATCTCTGACCACCTCTTTCCGTCGTCCTCATCCGACGACGTCGTCGCAACCACCGCCCTAAACGCCTCCGTTGCATCTAGCCTCTGTAGGTCCCACCCTCCTCCCTTCAGCCGTAGGATCTTCTCTATCTGCCTCTTCGCCAGCTGACACGTGTTGTCCTTGATCTCCCTCACCGCCTCTTCGTATGCTTTCCTCCGCTCCCGATCATCACCCTCCCCGCCCCTCCCCTGCGGTGGATACCTTTTAAAATACCTAGTGAACTCGGGCACCCCAATCGCCTTTCTCAACGCTGTCTGACTCGTCGTCGATTCGTCTTCGTCCTGGCGATCCGGGTCGCAGAACTCGGCCAACTCGTCCAACATCCCCGAGTCGAGCATTTCGTCCACTCGCTTGCACAAGTACTCAGTCAAGACCGCCAACGACACGTCCACCCACAGAAAACAGCAATTATACCTGAGCTCGGAAGAGACAGAGGCGTTGAAACCTGGTTCGAAGACATTGGAGCCCGGTTCGAACCGGTCCACGAGGAGCGCATGAATGAAGGAGTTGGAGCCGCCGACGAGCATCGGCACCTTCCTTCGATTCGTAATGCTGGAAATGGCTTGACCGGCCACGGCTCGAAATTGGCCGGGCGTAAAATCGCCGTGGCGAGGGTCGAACTCGCCGAGGAGATGGTGGGGGACGCCAAGGCGGTCGGGGATGGGAAGCTTGTTGGTGGTGATGTCGAGACCGGCGTAGAGTTGCATTTTGTCGGAGTTGACGATTTCGAAGAAAGGGAAGCGGGTGGCGAGGTCGAGGGAGAGGCGGGACTTGCCGGCGCCTGTGGCGCCCATGATAATGAGAAGCTTGTCCTTGCGCTGTTGTTGTTGTTGTTGTTGGCGTGGGGTGGTGGGGCCGGAGGCCATGTGGGCCCCCCGGCTGGGCTTGTTGTGGGGGAGAGGATGATGATGGGAAGGAGTGGTGGGGCAGAGGTGGTTGACCGGCGGGAACAAGTGGTAACGAGAGATATAAGAATAGAAATTGAAATTGAAATTAGAATAATGGTGGTGGGAGTGAGTTGGGAAGGGAATAAGTGTCATAGGTAGAGAAGGACAGGCTGTGTTTTGGTGAGCTGGGTATAATATTAGCTGCACTGCGCACACACACTGTCCACGCTTATACGGACTGATAACGGAAAAGAGAGAGAGTGCTTGTTATAATTTGTGTGTGGATGGGGGAGGTACAGCCTACTGCTGCTCCCTGGTCGACGATGGAAATAACGATGATCAGTACTAGTAGTCAGGACCGGAAAGTACAAAAACCTGTTGGTTGATGATGGTTGCGGTGGCGGCAGTGGTGGTGGTTGCGGTGGCGGTGGTGGAGGAATAATGATCATATAGTATTAGAAGACCAAGACGAAACGACTGAGGAGTATGAAGGAAACGGCAGTGGAATATGGAAAAGAGGAGTGGTGTTTTTGTCCTGGAGCTGTTCTCTACTGGACTACATATATCGTATCCCAGTTTGTTCATACTCCCCCTCTCCGTCCGTGCTTCTCTGCTCTCTCTCTCTCTCTCTCTCTCTCTCTCTCTCTGTGCGTGTGTGTTTCTGCCTTTTATTGGCTCTTCCACCATTCCCTCACGCCATACCTTTCTCTTTATATATATATACATACAACCCTTCCCTTTAGTGCCATAACTTGTCAACATGTTTTTATATTTTCTTCTTGACAAAGTTAAAATATAAATAAATTTAATGTAATCGGCTTTTAACTCAAGTGATTAAGAGAAATTTCCTCCTCAATATCGTTTATATATAAAATAAAAAGCTTTTTAACTCAAGTAACTAAGAAGAATTTCCTCCTCAATATCGCTTATATATAAAATAAAATAAAATAAAAAGCCAAATGGGGTCATGTTTTTCACTAGTTCACCATACCTTACCCACTCTCAACCATGGGCCCGTTGAAAGTAGAATACAAGTGCAAATACATACCAAATTCTAATAGTTGATGACAGACATTATTTGAACATTTTTTATTAAAATATAATAACGATTAAGGTAATAACAAGCATCATATATATGAAAGTTGAAACACACCGAATTTATCTCTTCTTTTTTGGCAAGAACATGACACACATCAATTCCTCTGTCACGTTCAACCAATAACCTTTTTCAACACAAAAGTCATATACTCATATTCTCAAGTCAAATCAAGTTAAAAGAATTATTTTTTTTCAAACAACAAACAGAGATTCAATTCAAGCATTAGGTTTAGAGAGAAAACTGATGATGCATGAATTTGCATATTGGTAGTAAATGAACTATATGATGGCATTATTATTGTCAAAGTGTCACGAGAATTCAGTATAAGATGAATGTTTTTACTTGTAACTTGTTATATTATTTTATTTAAAGTCTTCGAAAGCCTAATTATTTCTCTCTCCCTCTCTCTTTCTCTTGACCTTTTAATATTGCATAGTCCAACCCTTCCGTAACGATCAGATGCATGCTCCTAACCCCTTTTATGCCTTAAAACCCCAGTTATTATTAATGGAGCAGAATTTGACATTACAGATAGAGATAGAGAGGTTGCTGCATGCCATCCGGGGTTCAAAGCCTGCTGGCCCAATAATGGTTCTTGTTTTCAATAATAATCTTGATTTTTGTTCTTAATACGGTTGAGATTCTACTCCTCCTCCTCATAACATATGTGATGACAAACTCATTTCTCTCTACCCAGAATGTGTTGAGAGAGAGAGAGAGAGGGAGACAAGAGTGACTTGTACTCAAAATCCATGTTATTTCCATGGTGGAAAATTATGGGGCTTCTAAATATTCTCTCTTGCGTGCACATACACTACACCCCCGTTCAGTGTTTGCCAAGTAAGTTGACCCCAACCCAAATTGTGTTCCCCTTTTTTTTTTTCTTTTTTTTTATGGGCATATTCTAATGTGATTCATTAATTCACTAAGTATATGTATTATATATCCAGTTGTATTTTTCTGGAATTTTTAATTCCCTTCCATGGTTACGATAGGTAGGTTTGGTAGCAATATATGTTATGTTTGCCGGCCAGTGGAAGTTAGATGACGCAAACATCAACCGGGAAGGATTGAGGATATGGATACATTTGGCCACCTGGAAGTAGATACAATCATCCTAAAATAATAATGTTAAGTTAACCAATGAATCTTATTACGAGCTAAATTAGCAGCAAGCAAAAGAACAAAAACAAGATGATATATTATGTTATGACATAGGAAAGATTAATATATATATAACATTGGGCCGGGGTTTCTTATGATCACGACTGTGTTGTGAATTGTGAACATGCTTCTGTATATGAGTGCTGCATGCGAGCGTGGGCTTGACTTGAGCTTGACGATGGCGTAGGTGATTGGTGGTGTGTGTTGTGAGGCTCTTCACGATGACAGAGGGCTCTCTCTCTCTCTCTCTCTCTCTCTCTCTCTCTCTCATGGCCCTATGTATATATTAATGCGTTATGTTGCGCCGTATGGTTACATGCTTGTTTTTATGTTTCGGCCTTGTTTTTGCTTGTGTTGCATTTCTACAATCTCTCCATTTAATGCATCACTTCCATTAGTTCATTATTGATGTTTTTTTTCTTCTAAGGATACGTTGGTAATATCGGCCACCTTTGAGAAAATGAAAATTAAGAGAAATATTATGTTTTTAGTATGATTAATCGCCAATGGTCTTTGTATCATGTCAAACTCATCATTTTCATCCCTAAACTTCAAAATCAATTAATGTTGTCCTCATTCCCTTGCTCCGTACAACAATGTCACCCACGACGTCAATTCAGTTTAACATTCTATTAAAACGAAATGATGAGTGTGGATTGGAAAAAGAGTAAGGGGTAGACGTCGGCTATAGAAGAGGGGGTGGGCATGGGAGTGTGGACTGGGGGAGGGGGGCAGATAAAAAGAGAGGGGTGATAATGGGTGAGAGGAATTTTCAATGAAATTGACTCGATAATGATATATTAATGTACATGATAAGAGAATAAGGATAACATTGATTAGTAAGTTTAAGAATGAAAATGTTGAGTTTGACATGATATAAGGACCACATAGACATATGATATAAACTTATAAAAGAAATAGTTAAATTCTAAACCAATTATTTTTTTGATACCATTCATATCTAGGCGACAGTTGAAAGAAAGAAAAAGAAAAATAACAAGAAACGAGTTAGAATCTAATGTTGCTATAAAAAATAAAATGAAAAGCCAAATACAAAGCAATCATGAATCCCCAACTTATGCAAAGTCATTTCAAGAAGAAAAGAATGGCATCGAGTATATTAGCTGAAAAGGGGTCAGATAATTGAACTGCTATATACCTTACAAGCATGGCCTTGCATAGCATGCAGTAGTCTTTACACGATATTGTCCTCGTTATGTCATGTGTAGGAAAGTATCACGACTCTAAAATAAAAGAGACGAACGTTGTTTTGTACCATTTAATCAATCGAACATGCAGGAATTGATTGGTGTTACATCAGACTATCAGACGAATATTCAGAGACAAATAATAGACGTGTAGAAATGTGACGGCTGGACATCTTATATCATAGGATTCACATTTAGTTAGCCATAACTAGTTAAAATGTGTCCCCAACATATTTCATGTGCGTATCAAAATAAAAAAAATAAAAAATCATGTGTATTATGATATGTATCAAATTATTTTTGTCAAAGATATATATCATCTTATGAAGCTCAGATTATACTATTTCTCGGTTAATAGATGATTAGTTTAAAAATTATATAAGAGAAATGTTAGAATTTAACGTTCACCTATCAAATGTATCAAATGCGCTATCGATACGAATATTGATGTTATATCATAATTTCAAAAAAGACTATATAAAGCTAAAAAGCAAAGGGCTGATGTGGTGGTTGGTGTAGCAGTTTTTTTCTTCACCTTCCTTGCACACGATCTTGTAAAGTCTGTCAGTCATAGTATCATTCGGAGTTGGTTTGGGGTTTGCCGCGCCCCGATTGTTACATTTGAAAGAGTTGAAATTTCAAAAGCCAAAGCCAATAACAAGATGGATGCATGTAGAAAGTTGGTAACGGGGGATTAGAAATTCTAGGTTTTAGATTGTGCATTAAGTGTTGCAAGATTTAGAAGCCCAAAAGATCCAAGTCGGTGTTGAAAAGGTGGGATTGAAATCATGATAAGCATTGAACGCTCTCCCCTTGGTACGAAAATTTCTAACTAAATAAACTACAATTGGCACTGGATCCCCCAACCATGACAATGACTAGTAATTAGATATGACTGAGCCTGACGGCAAGGAATATGAGATGGCGATGTACAACTTTAATGATTTATATCTTAAAAAGGAGGAGAATTTTAAGCTACCATGGATCCTCATAACGACTTTTAGGCTTCGATGGGCCTCAGTCAGTTTTATCTTTTGATTTCTTTATTATATACTACAATTGAATTGAATATCCTTTTTTAAGTTAATCATCTGGAATGATATGGATTACGGCCCCTTTAAGATTTGATCGTGGCGGGGCTTAGTCGATCCATCGTATTATTAGTAGGACTCATTTGGATGTCGAGTATTTTTTATCTTTTCCTTTCCAAATTTGCGCATGCAGTTCATCAAGCAGCCAACGAACCACATGCTACGCGTGCTCCAAAGAATACACGTACTCTTGCTACATCAAGATGATATCAAGCTTTAATAAGATAAGTAAAGTGATTACTAAAAGCTACACAGACCCACACTAAAAGAATTTAAGATTGTGTCAAATGTGATTTGATCGTAGCGAAGAGAGTTTTTCGATGCGACATCATTTGACAATGTGACCGTCCATAACACTAATCACTTTCTCATAAAGTTGTAGGTGATATGGATATATAATACTTTTCAAGAAGTTCCTAACAAATTTCATTCAAAACGTATAAAATAGCTGATTAAGTTTACAAACTCAATAGGAATCCAAACACTTGTTAATTAAACTGACATCAACATCTAGCCAATCATACATAACCATATATACATCAATCCTAATTCTTGTACTACAGTGTTGTACAACTGCGTACCTAAATTAAAGGCATGACAATCGGACACATGTACACTCTCACACACATTATAACAATTTTCCATGTGTGTACCTGATAGATGTACCTACTTCTCTGGCTATGAAAACGGGAAATGATAATCATGCCACTGAGCTGAGCGGCCAACGATTTTCCAACTGTTGACTGGTTGAATGCTTTTTCAAGTTGGAAAATCACCAAATAACTCTACTTAGTGACTTCATTTTCATTTAATTTCCAAGTCCTCCACAAAATTTGACCAAATATAGTGACGTGCGCTTCTCCATCAGCAAATCAGAGATGTGGATTCAATTCCCTCCTTTCCTAGTTATTACTCGTCTTCGTCAGAATCTTCACTTCACACACGTTGTAAAAAGTCAGTTTGCACCCAAAGAAAAAAATGAAGAAAAGGAGAGTTCGTCGTACGTTTGATCCGTTCAAAATATTTGCATGTGTCGAATCAGTTTGGTGTATAATACTGTTCCTAAACTGTGAAGATCAATGTTCTGTGTTTTTTTTTTTTTTGGGGTGGGTAGGAACAAAGATTAAATCAATCGGGTCAGCAAGTTTTGGATTTCATTTTACATCAGAAGAGAGGCAGCCGTTGACTATTTATTAGTACAAGCCAACTACTCATCAACTCCAAATCACAGCCCTGAAAATTACTTTACTAATAAATCACATGCATGACGAAAGAGACGGACAGAGATAAACCAGATTACATAAATAAATGACCCAATTATACTCTTTTATTTTATTTTTTCCTTTTGGTGAACGACACGGGTTATGCGTTTTTCTTTAATTACACAAACTTGTTTAGAGTATGTCCACTTGGCGTAATCACTGGTTTACACTGCACTCGTTGGTCGTCTCGACTTGGGCCGCCGCACTTATCATGATCAAGTGTTTTGTTTAGTTTTTGAAGTGAAGATTAGGTAATTAAATCGTTATTTAAAGCTAAACATAATACGTACAAAGCATGTAATGTTAGTTTATGCAGTTTGCAAGATGGGTTTGGTTTTATATTTAATGTTTAATGTTTAATTTAGAGACACAAGCGTCCAATTGAAAAACTGCTTTTCAAATGTTTAGAGATATTTAGTCATATACCAATTTTTAGCACAAAAAATATAAATAAATCATACACAATTTAATTTCTATAAACAAACTATAAAAAAAAAAACCCAAAAAAAACAACTAGCTCTATTTAATTCAATTTTGATTATTAAATTACTTTGATGCCCTATTGAGTGTTTTGAGTTTTTTTATGAGCTTTTGAGGTTGAGTTTATTTTAAGAAATCGATGACATTTTTTGTAATTTATAAGAAGTTAAAAACCTATTTGTTATGTTGTAAATGAACTTTGGGTGTGTTTTTAAAGTCCATTTTATATATGGTATTTTTATAATTTGGACCTTTATATTGAGTATAATAGTGAATCTCCCAATTGTTTATTCATAAATATATCCACTTATAAAATTACATAAAAAAATAACTGTACCCAAAAAAGTGTAGCCATTAAATTTTTGTTATCGGTGAAAATAGTAATGTGGGTAGGATGGCTAACAATATGTGACAGTGAGATAGTGATAGTGTGGTCGAAGGGTTAATTGGGCTTTTTCCTGATCGGTGGATGCAGCCCAATATGATGCTGCAGGCCCAACTGTGCAGTCCAAGCCCAACTAGCAGGCTGAACCCTTTGGACCTTTAGCCCGTCTACAAGACTTGGATAGCTGTCAGCTAGGAAACCACACTAGATCAAAGAGAATTGCAGAGAAAAGTAGCCGATGAGCAGCAGCAGCTTCTCTACTGTTAATACATGGTGACATTCTAAGTAGCAAACTTCATTTAAATTCTTATAATCCAAAAACATTGAAGCATATATATATATATATATATAAATGAGTAGTGCTTCCACCTTTCCTTTTCTTTTCCTGGTCAAAGAGATAATACCTCAGTTTCCTTCAACAATGATATAACCTGACCATATGTTACAAGTTACAGGGTTGTAAAATCTACAGAAACAAATTAATGTTTCCCTTATCCTGGTTTTGAACCCTAGGCTCCCTGCCCATGATCCAGAAAGTCTGGTACATATCCAGATGATTTTAGCAGTTTCGTCAATCCCCTCAAGACTCCATATATTTCCTCAGTCTCAGGATGCCTCTCATCTAAGGAATAGAACTCAACCACACCGTCATTGGCCTCAATAAAGCTAACACCCGGGACTTTTTTATACCCAGTATCCCTCATTGCAACTTTTAATCTCGCCACATCTCTCCATCTCCCAAGATGACCATAAATATTTGAGAGCATGACATAATTTGCAGGGTTTTTCGGTTCAAGTTCAATGAGACGTTCAAGAGCCAGCTCTGCAAACTCAATGTTTTTGTAAATCCGACATGCCCCTAGTAAGGCAGCCCAAATAACAGCATCTGGTTCCATGGGCATCTTCCTCACAAAGTTCATGGCCTGGTCCAAAAGACCCGAGCGTCCGAGCAGATCCACCATACAACCATAATGCTCAATCTGTGGCACAATTGAGTAGTCATCAACCATTGATTGGAAATACAAAAGGCCATCTTCGACCAATCCAAGATGTGTACAAGAGCACAAAATGCCTATGAAGGTGATCCCATCTGGGTTTTCTCCATAATTCTTCATCTGGCGAAACAAATTTAAGGCATCCGCCCCACGTCCGTGCATTGCCAAGCCACAAATCATAGTGTTCCAGGTAATTAAATCCTTGTTATCCATGCTCTTGAATACGTCAAGTGCATTATCAATGATCCCACATTTTGCATACACGTCAATCAAAGCATTCCCAACGAAAACATTTCTCTTGTACCCAATGCTCTCTGCATATGCATGTACCCACTTACCCAAATCAAGAGCTCCTAATCTTGCACACGCCGACAACACAGTCACTAAGGTGGCATCATTAGGAAGCACATCACCCTCGCTTAGCATCCGCTTGAAAGATCCCAGAACTTGAAAGAAACGTCCATTACGTGCATATCCTCCAATTAATCCATTCCAAGAGAAAACATTCCTCTCAGGCATCTCTTCAAACAACTTCTCACAAGCATCAATCTCCCCATTACTTGCATAACCATTCAAAACGGTATTCCAACCCATCACATCTCGTCTTGGCATGTCATCAAAGAGTTTTCTAGCTGCCACCATATCCCTCAGCTCAATATAACCTGAAACCATGGTGTTCCACAACACAATATCACGTTCCGGAGCCAAATGAAAAAGGCGCTGTGCAGAAACCATATCACCACACAAAATGTAACCATTAATCATGGAAGTCCAAGCAACCACATTCCTCTCGAACATCTCACCGAACACTTTGTAAGCAGCTCCAATCACTCCCCTAGCCGCATACATTTCAATCAGCGTCGTTCCCACATATGGGTTTGCTCTAAAACCACCTTTTATCACTACACAATGCACCTCTTCACCTTCTACCAACCTTTTCAGTCTCCCACAAGATTTAATCACAACAGGAAACGTGAAGCAATTGGGCATTATATCCATGCTCTTCATCCTTCCAAACAATAGTATTACTTCTCTATGACTCTCATTCTTAGCATACCCTCTGAACATTGCATTCCATAAAGCAAAGTTCGGGTCCGGAATTCCATCGAACACTTTGTGGGCATACGCCATTTGCTTCAGTTCGGCGCATGCCGTAATTAGTTTTGGGGCGATATAGTGGTTGTGCGACAAGCCGTGGGTGATTATCTGGGTCTGTGTTTGGCGAAGTTGCTTTGTGGCCTTACATGATTGCAAGAGTGAGATGAACTTCTCCTCGAGAAGTCTGTGAGGGGGCTTTTGGGCCAATTCATGCAAAATCTTCGCTATTTTGTTTTTTTTATCACAAGGTTATGTTTGAGCGGGAGAACCAACTGTCTCTGAAAACTTCAATAAGGCAATATCAAATTATACTTTAATTTTACACCCAAAAATAATAATTTCTAATTTCCAGACTATAATTATAGTGCAGCGCACGTGGTCCACTCTGTTTGACTAAAATCAGAGCTATGACCGTCAAACTTGCATCCACTTCCCATAAACTATTCCATAATTACAGCCATGAACCTTTCGCTCACTCTGAGTTTCCGACCAACGGAGCCTTCTCTGTTTCACCGGAAATCCTTCTCTCCGATCAAGTATCCACAAAAACAGCACGCACCCATTTTTCATCAACCAAAATTGGACCCAAGAAGAACTCAGTTCAGGGTCACGGCTAAGAGACCGTCGCCAATAGAAGGCTTAAGCGAAGAGATGAGCGCCATGGCTTCGCAGAATCTAGACCATGCGCCTGCTCGGAGACGAGTTCGGTCGGCATTCGTTGACGTGCATCAACAGCTTGATCATTGCTTGTTCAAGGTTCGTTCAATTTGATTATGGTCGTGATAGGCTGCTAGCTTGCTGCTCAAACATTTGTAACAGTTGAATGGAATTCAAGTTTCAATTTCAAAATATTAGGAAATCATAATGCGTTTGCTTTCTCCCTGTTGAAAATTTTAGATGGATCATGCTGGCATCAGAACAGAGGAGGTAAGAAACAAATTGACTTCTTTAATTCTTAATTCCACAGATTTAATTGATGATCATTTTACAATTGTTGTGGCCATTGTTCGTAGTGGTATGGAAGGAACTCAAAGGGCATGGAAATTTTCTGCAAAAGCTGGTTGCCAAAACTAGATGTTCAAATCAAAGGTGCTTTATGTTTTTGCCATGGGTACGGTAGCACTTGCACATTCTTCTTTGAAGGTTGGTTGCTCTGTCTTTCCCTTTACTTATTTGTTTATTAATTTGTTTGTAAATTTGAGCAGCTACTTCCCCTGTATTATAATTAATCCAACTAGAAGTTTATGCCAATCTAAGGCCAAAACTTAGAAGTTTTACACATGGTGCGGTTCGAATTTGAATTTTCAGGTATCGCTAAGCGAATTGCTGCATCTGGGTACGCTGTATATGCTGTGGACTATCCAGGTTTTGGTCTTTCTGAAGGGTTGCATGGTTACATCCCAAACTTTGATGAATTGATTGACGATGTTAATGAACAATTTACTAATATCAAAGGTGTGAAATTTCCTAGACTCAATGTTATTCTTCATAGTATTTTGCTGTGATCACTTTGTATTGCAAGTTGCAACTCTTACAAGACAGGCTTGCTATTTGCTAATTGCTAATTGCTAATTGCTTTGTATTACAATTCAGGAAGACCTGAAGTGAAAGGTTTGCCCTGCTTTATAATGGGAGAGTCCATGGGTGGAGCTGTCACTCTCAAGATTCATCTAAAAGAACCGTCTAAATGGGATGGAGTAATCCTTGTAGCTCCAATGTGTAAAGTAAGCTCCTTCTCTTTCTTTGTTTTTTGTTTAGTTTTCACTACCAAATTGTGTTTCCGTGTTTACATGTTCCTCTCCATCTCAATTGCTGTGCAAACTAGTGATAAATGTTGGTTTCCTTTGCTGATTTAGTTACATTCGGACTTCTCATTCTTGGATCACCAACTGAATATTTATCTGTTGACTTTGAGTTGCCAAGATTGCAGAGGACGCAGAAAAACCTCTTTCCCCAGAAAGACATGGCTGGCCTAAGCTACAGAGATCCGAGAAAGAGAAAAACGGTTAGCCCTTTCTGCACTTCTCCATTTAGTTGGTTGATCAACTGAAGCTGAAATAATGGTTAAATTGTTGATTTTCTCTCTTTAGGCTGGTTACAATGTGATTTCTTACAAAGACCACATGCGATCAAGAACAGCTGTGGAACTGCTGAAGGCCACAAGTGATATAGAAACACAGTTGGATAAGGTCGGTTGCCCTTTGTGCTATTCTGTCATGCCCTATCAAAAATACCAGCAGCATGACTTAACTAGTTTCTGGAGATTTTGCAGGTTTCAGGGCCATTGCTAATTCTTCATGGAGCGGCAGATAAGGTGACCGATCCTTTAGTGAGCCAGTTACTTTATGAGAAGGCCTCTAGCAAGGATAAAACTTTGAAGCTCTATCAAGATGGTTATCACTGCATTCTTCAAGGGGAACCTGATGACAGAATTTTTACTGTCCTAGATGACATTGTAACATGGCTTGACTTTCGGTGCTCCCCTAATTAAAATTTACAGCATCCTTTCACATTTTCCTTTTAAGATTTTGATAAGATGCCAGTGCTTGAATTGATCGTGGTAAACGCCATAATTTGATGAGTTAAAGGGACATATCAAAATTCTTACGTCCCCTTTATGAGAAAGACTTCTATGAAATGGGAATATCACTATTTTGTTATACTCAACAAATGACGCTATGACATGAATGGTAACACTTTCACGTAGCATAACATTATTAGTCGAAAATAACAAAACAGTGTTATTTCGATTGCAACAAAGTTTTTCTTCCCTTTTACATGTAACTACAAAAGTTGAACTTGTAGGTAGGCCATAGATTAGCTGGTTCTAGTTATTGTCGACCTATAAACTTTCCAAGAAATCTCGTACCATAATTTGTAATATTACATCTCTTCAGTTTTTTCGTCCTTCCCCAACAAAAGAAAAACACTCGTTCAAAAGGGTACAGGTGAACAGCTGTCGTATCCTTATAAAGTATCTATATAATTAAATTTCCTATACATAAGCATTAAAAAAAAAATAAAAACAACTAGAACGGTAGTTTAAAGGGATCACTCCGACCAAAAGAAAAATATTTTAGCGCATGCTCCATGTGCACCCTCGAGAAAAAGTGACGTGCACTTTGGATGGACAAAACAAAATCGAAGTGGTGCACTTCGGCTCGTTTCAAAGGCCTACTGGCGAGCTCCCTGTCTGTGTTTGACGTTTTCCTCACTGAACTCTCTAATGGACCGTTCTCGTGCTCTGAGATACCAACCTCTTAAGCTTCCATTGTTTCCTCCTCAATTCCAAAACCCAATCAACCATCTTCATCCAAAGCCCACAATTTTAGTCCCCAGAGGAACTCGCCTAATGGTTACAGCCAAGAAAAGGCCACCCATTGAAGGTGTAAGTGAGGAGCTGAACTCGATCGCTAACCAGAACCTCGACTTTGCTTATACTCGCAGGCAGGTTCGATCCGCTTTCGTTGAGGTCCAGCAACAGCTTGATCATTGCTTGTTTAAGGTTGGTTTCTTTTAATTGTGATCATCATCTTAACCTTTACTTTACCAGCCTTTGATTCGTTGAAACTAAGTAACAGTAATTAATGCTTTTATTTGTTCTTATTTGAACTGGATTGGCGGGTAGTTGGCTCCTACTGGGATCAGAACAGAGGAGGTAAGAGTTAATTTTGTTTACCTGAAATTGTTTGGAAAGTAGAAGCTATCTACATTGTATTTAATTTTGCAAATGATCCATTTGTTTGCTGACAAAATGCAAGTATGGATTGCTACTGTTATTGGGTTTGTAGTGGTACGAAAGAAATTCGAGGGGATTGCAAATTTTCTGTAAAAGCTGGATGCCAAAACAAGGTGTTCCGATTAATGGTGTTTTGTTTTTTTGTCATGGGTATGGTGATACTTGCGTTTTCTTCTTTGAAGGTTTGTCATTATGCCATTCCATTAAGTAATTGTGTAATCAGTGTGAAATTTTTTTCTATGTTTCTGATTTTAGAAGGTTTAGTTCACTTGATATCCGTCAAGTTTGGATTTTCAGGTATAGCCAGGCGAATTGCTGCATCTGGGTACGCTGTATATGCCATGGACTACCCAGGTTTTGGTCTTTCTGAAGGATTGCATGGTTACATTCCAAGTTTTGATCAATTAGCTGATGATGTGATTGAACAGTACACAAAGATTAAAGGTATGACACTGATCCTAGCTTAGTCTTAGCATCTCTATCATCTGATATTGCAAACTTTACACTAATCAAACTATTATTTTCAAAATTATGATTGACAGGAAGACCTGAGTTGAAAGGGTTGCCCCACTTTATATTGGGGCAGTCCATGGGTGGAGCCGTTACTCTCAAAGTTCACTTAAAGGAACCATATGCATGGGATGGAGTTGTTCTCGTGGCCCCAATGTGTAAAGTAAGCCTACATTACTCCAATATGCACATTAGTGGAACCAAATTTAAGATTCATTCATTTCAACTTCAGTTTCCTATTAATATGAAGTTCTGTAATCTCATGCACTTCGATTAAATTTAAAGCTTACCATGTAGAAAGCAAACTTTTCAGTCTCTATGTTTTTCTTCTGATGAATACTTTAACAAAGAGCTTCCAGATTTCATATTAGTAATTACCTGAGTTTGCAGAATTCATATTGATTTAGTTACCTAAAGAATCTTAAATTTTTTTAATTTTTAATAGTATCTTGTGCCACTGTTGGGTCATTGCTTGTTTCGTAGGAAGTTTCCTTGTTTGCATTTTTTGTGTGTGTTGAGAATTCAGGGAAAGTGAGTGGGCAGGAAAGATAGAAATAGGTCCTGAATGTTTGGAGTGTATCCTGCTGATGGTTCATCAACTAAAAATGATAGCATTTACTAGAGGCGTCATCAGGAATTTGCACAACTGGCACCTGCCGATTTGGAGGCTGGGGATTACAGTCTTCAGGAATCAAAGATCTCCATGTTAGTTCTTGGAAGACAATAACTAGAGGACATTTCTGGGGAGGCCTCTACTGTGGCTACCAAGTTAGGACCCTCAAGGAGTATGTAAAACTCTACTTGAATCAATCAGTCTTGGGAGGAGGAGTGAGCTCACAGTACCCTATCTGTGTGTATTGGAATATAAGTTTCTGCATCTTTTGATGTCTACCTTCTCTTTCTTATTCTTTCCACATGACTCATGCTTCATTTAAAGGAAGTTTTACCGTCTTACACAAACAACTTAACAGGAAAAGATGAAAGATATCAAAATTGTTAGAAGAAAGCTGCCATTATTTCAACATGACCCTGAATACAACATTCGTATACACTCGTAAACAGACATATGTTAAATAGTCTGAACAACAGAAAAAGAAACAACTTACAGAAGAGACTGCTGATTTCTTGTATGCAGATTTTCTTATTGTGTTGATTTCAGAAGTTGCAAGACCTAATTTTGTGTCTACAAAATGCATTTTAGAAGTTGCAGATTTTCATCATGAAATTTTTTCTGACCTTGAGTTGCTGAAAGATTGCAGAGGATGTAACACCTCCAGCAGCCGCTCAGAAGATATTAATTCTTATGTCAAAAGTTATGCCGAAAGCAAAGCTTATCCCACAGAAAGATTTAGCTGAGCTGGCTTTCAGAGATCCGATAAAAAGGAAAATGGTTTGTCTTTCATTTCCTCTACCAATGTAAATGCACTTGTATGAAAATCTGATGGAGATGACTATTGTACAATATTAAAGTTTCTCTACCAGCGAAACAGCATAAAACTATCTATTGCCTAGCCATTCAATGAGAACTCCCCACATTTCTAATGATAAATTTCTCCTAATGAGAAAATCATATCTAGACTACAAGTTCTCTTTATCTGCTTTTAGAGGATTGAGTTTTAGTATTCAAAGCTTTGGTCATCCCTTATCAGGCTGTTTACAATGTGACATGCTACAATGATCACGTGCGGTTGAAGACTGCAGTGGAACTTCTACATGCTACCAAGGATATCGAGATGCAAGTTGAGAAGGTCAATTCCATTTTGTGTCTGATGTGCATCCCTTCTTTTGTCATTTTCTGACAGTATTTTAGCTCCTATGTTACATAGCGATGCCTTTCATTTGATGCCATGGGTTAACCAAATTTGAGATATGTCAGGTTTCATCTCCACTGCTAATTCTTCATGGAGCAGCAGATAAGGTGACTGATCCTCTAGTGAGCCAGTATCTTTATGAGAAGGCCTCTAGCGAGGATAAAACCCTTAAACTCTACCCGGAAGGTTATCATAGCATTCTTGAAGGAGAACCTGATGACAGAATTTTTTCAGTCCTTGATGATATTATCACTTGGCTTGATTCCCGGTGTGCCCTGACATAGATGTTCTCGTTGAATCTGTGGCATCGCCATTTCATCTATTGCTTTTCTTTTTATTTTATAAAAAAATTTCTGGTGAAGAATAATGGATTTATATATAAAATAAATTATGTAAATTTAAATAATACATCATTGCATGTCAATCCGTTGTGTTCATTCTTCTGTTGTATGCAACGTGGGAAATGTTTCATCTATATTTGCTTCCTCTTGAAATTCGGCAAATCTGAAAATAGCTATAGACCATATGGAAATAAATCTCCTATTTATAATTTTATAGAGAACCGTCTCATATCTATGTTTTGGATTGAGTTTTGCATCAGAGTTTTGTCTCTCAAATCCCTTGATGTCTTACAAATAGCAATAGCCTTCACTTGTGGATATCGTTGATGCAATGAAAATGATTAAAAATTTTAATTCCCTTGATAAAAGCTGTTCTTAAGTATGGTGTTTACCTCTAATCACCCTTTAAAAGCTTCTCACGTTAAATTGAGTTTAGCTTAGTTTTTTAGCCTTAAGGGAGCGTCTAGACAGAGCTTTTGCTAATTCTGAATGGCGATCAATGTTCCCAAATTCAAAAGTTTTTCATCTGGAACCCAGCCGGTCGGATCATTTACCCATTATGCTCTCCCTGTGCCATCACAGTACTAGTCACAAAAGGTCACGTCCTAGTTTTAGGTTCGAGGGCATGTGGACTCAACGTGAGGATTGTGAGAGAATTAATGCTGCTGCATGGAATACATTGGTTGAGGGGAGACTAATGCATCAAGATGTTGAAAAAATAAAACACACTCGTGTCTTGTTGTTACAGTGGTACCGTTCAGTTTTTTGTGCAACCAAAGGAGAGATAAAACGAGTACATGACAAATTGGGGGTAGTTTGGAATGAGCATTGTGATGAGAGCACGCTTACCACTTACATTCAGGTTTAATGCATCAACTTGATGGGCTACTCTCAAATGAAGAAGCCTTCTGGAAACAACGATCACGAGTGTCTTGGCTAAAGGAAGGAGATCGTAACACTTTCTTTCATCAGAGAGCGTCTGGGCGAAAGCAAAGAAATAAAATCTCAAGTTTAAGGGATGGTAACGGAAACTGGTGTGATACAGACAGGGGCATTGAAGGGATTGTTCTGGATTATTTCGATAATCTGTTTCCATCCACATATGCTGGCAATGATGGAGAAGTCTTAGCAGCTGTTGAAATTCGAGTTACTAGCACAATGAATGAGACTGCAGCAAAGGTCCTTGCTAACCGGTTGAAGACTATTATGCCCTCTCTCATTTCTCCTAACCAGAGTGCGTTTGTCCTTAGTCATCTCATCTCCGATAATACCATTTTAGCTGCTTTGTCACTTGGAAGAGGGAGAGGAACCAGTTTTAATCATTTGAAAGAGCCAAGGAAATTTTAATGAAAGTAGTGGCATAGGCTATACCTATATTTACTATGAGCTGTTTCCTATTACCTAAGTACTTTTGTGATGATTTAAACAGGATGATGGCTTCTTTTTGGTGGAATAGTTCAAATGATGACAAGACGATCCATTGGCTCTCTTGGGACAAATTGTGCTTACCAAAGGCAGATGGTGGCCTCGGCTTCAGAAATCTCTATGATTTTAACTTAGCTCTTCTGGCAAAGCAGGGTTGGAGACTGCTACAACAACCAGACTGTAACTGCACAAGTTTTAAAAGCAAAGTATTATCCCAACCACTCTTTTCTGGAGGCCGTGGTTTCCCCTCATAGTTCTTGTGTTTGGAAGAGTATCTGTGATGCCAGAGAGCTTTTAATTTGTGGCTCTCGATGGCAAGTGGGAAGCGGTGAGGAGATCAATATTTGGAGTGATAGATGGGTCCCCAACCATCTACTTTCCAAGAGTTTTTTCATCTAAACCTGCAGATTGTGTCCATACTAAAGTTGCTGACCTCATTCATGGTAATACAAGAACATGGAATGTACCTCTCTTGCATAACCTTTTTTTTTCTTTTCTTGAAGAGGTGGAGCTTATTCGTTCCATTCCCCTGAGCTTGAGGAGGGTAAAAGACAATTTAATATGGCACCTTGATAAGAAAGGCCAATTCACGGTGAGGAGTGCTTATCATGTTGCAAGGAGAAGGACCATGCAGCCCAAGCGAG